TCAGAGCTGCCCCCTGGTGTTTTTTTAAATGCAACCCCAAAATTAATTTCCAAAATTTCCCCCATTTTAAGGGGCCCCTTTAAAAAGAAATCCCCCCCGGGGCAAAAATTTGGGGGCAGAAACTGGGAAAATTTTCCCCCCACAAATGGGTTTAATTTTTAAAAGCGTTCCTGGGAAAAGCTGGGGGGGTTTTCATCCGGAGGTTTTTTTAAACTACCACAATGACTTGGTTTTGGTTCCCCGACCTTTACCGCTAAAACCCACACATCATTTGAGGAATTTTTGGGAGTTCTGGGGCAAAACAATGACTCTGCAATGTACAGGCCAACCCCCCCCCTTTTGCCTTTTTAACCCCTGTCACATCTGTATAAAGGGTTTTAACCTGGAAAACCATATTTCCCTTGTCCAAGTGATCCTTTATGTGGGTCTCAGTGAAAGCCGCGAACATTGGGCCTTTTCCTCTCAAGCAGTCCACGGGTGAAAGGTATTTTGTTGTTTTTTGCTGGGTTTAGGGCCCCGTAATTTCAAAAAAGGAAAAGTCATCGGGCTGGTGGTATTGTTTGGGACTGGGGGGGGGAAATTTTTTTTTTCCCGGGATTAGTAACTGTATTGTTTTGGTTTTTTGGGGTGGAGGCCCTCGACTTTTGGGTTTCCCCTCCAGGAATACTGGATTTGGTGTAAAGATTTCTGCCATTTCCTCCCTTTTTTTTTCCTTCCGGCACTAAAAAAAACCCCTTCCCCCCCCTTTTAAATTTTATTCACTATCATTCCCTTTAATCATGGGCTTGCCAAAAATTTGCTGTCAAAGAACATTTAAAGGAAAAAAAACATGGGAAAGTAATGTATGAATTCAAGGATTAGTGGATTAAAATAAGGGGCGAGATGTAAAATGGGGGCTGTTCTAAGCGTTTTGCCCCTGGGAAGGGTTAAATGTAAGGAGAGAGAGAAGAAAAAGGGGAAAAGAGCAGAAAATTTTTGAGAGGTGTTTAGTATTGGGGTTATATTTGGTAGTTTAGGTTACGTAGATTACAACTTAAACTATGCAATTTCTCTAGTTTTAAGTAGTTGTAAGCCATTAATTTAGTCTGCCCATAATGCCATGGCTATGGGGCTCTCTTTTACACTGAAAACTTATTGTAACTACAGAATTCAATGTAAACTTGCAAAAAATAAAAAAGGTTTTGTTTTGTAGGGACGTGCATTAAGTGGGAAAATAGTAATTTTTTTGGGGGGACCTCAGTGCAAAAGTGGAGAATCTTTTATAAGGAGGTAGTAGGTAATTTTAGAAGTGGCAGGAGTAAAAATAAGGGGGGGCCATTTTAATTGAACTATATAATACATTTTTTTAAAAAAGAAAAGGGGGGGAATAAGTTTTTTTTTTTTAAACAACTAGCCGTATCCCCCGGGCGGGGTGGCCCCAAAAAAGAAAATCGAAAGTTTCTCTTTTTAAATTTTGAATTAACAGAAGGGAAAATTTCCCTAAGTATTAAGATTCCAAGAAGTTGCAGTGTCTGACAGGTTTTGTGATTGGCAGAGAACCGAATGTTGAAAATTAGACACATGGAAACTTTTGGGGTTTTCTTTTTTGAGGAAACGTTTGCCACACAGTGGTTCATCAGTCCCTAATAGGAAAACTTGAAGAACAGGAAAGGGGATGAGGTAATCAGTCCCCCCCAACCTTGAGTCATGTGTTAGTCCACAATTTGAGTAGAATCGACAGATGAGCGGGAAAAAACAGCTTATAAACCGATGGCAGGGAGGTGCAGCAGTCATAGTGTGCACATTTGTTTTAATGTGGAAATAGGTTTTGCCCCCAAAATAGGCAAGCTTGCTAATTCTTGGGGACAATATACAGAAGGGGTTTTCTAATTCTTTTCTTCTGGCATTTTAGCGCCCCCCCCTTTCACATGCTGACCTACAAGGGAAAAATTGAGGAATAGTATACAAGATATAATTAAGCATGTGGTTTGGGGCTGTGTTTTAGTAATAAAAGGTTGATGGGTTTTGACTTTTGAATGGCATGATTTTTTGAAAGGGACATGCTCATTATTTGGAAAATCCACATTGAGAGTAAGAGGTAGATGGGGTACAAAGAGAATGTCATTGGTGTGTAAGAGAGAAGTGAAAGTTTGTAAAGTAGAGGAGGAAATAGGGTAGGATTTAAGCAACTATTGGGAGAAAGGTGGGTTAGAGCCAGTACATGTAATGAGGAGATAAGGAGTAGATTTAAAGAATGCAGTGTTAGTGTACAGCAGAAGTTTGTGGATATAGAATGATGGGTGCAGAAGGAAAGAGGAGTGATTGGTGGAATGAGGTAGAGAGGATGGTAAGGGAGAAGAAGTTGGCATATGAGAGGTTTTTACAAAATAGAAGTTATATATGGAAGGTGGTGTGCATGGAGAGTGAAACAGAGATTGACAGAGTGGTGAGTGGAATGTAAAAGGAGAGTAGAAAAAAGTTTTGGAGTCAGATCAGTAAGTGGAGAAAGCCAAGGGAATGAATGATTTTAATAGTTAAAACAAAAGAGGGAAATTTTTAGAAGGGAAGATAGAGTTACTGGGAAGATGGGAGGAATACTTGGAGAAATTGTTGAATATTGATGAAGAGGAGGAGGCAGTGATTTTATGCATTGGACAGGGAGGTATAACATCTTTCAGGAGTGAGGAGGATCCAGATGTGAGTGGGGGGAGATACACGAGGCAGTGGTTAGAATGAAAGGGGATAAGAGAGTAAGAGTAAGATTTCATTCGGATTTTTAACCCCGAGGGTTAGCCACTCAGGATAACCCAAGAAAGTCAGTGCGTCATCGAGGACTGTCTAACTTATTTCCATTGGGGTCCTTAATCTTGTCCCCCAGGATGCAACCCACACCAGTCGACTAACACCCAGGTACCTATTTGCTGCTAGGTGAACAGGACAATAGGTGTAAGGAAACGTGTCGGAATTTCCACCCGCCGAGAATCGAACCCGGGCCCTCTGTGTGTGAAGCGGGAGCTTTAGCCACCAGACCACCGGGCCACTGGGATAAATGGGATTAAGATAGAAATGTTAAAAACAGGTGGGGATATAGTTTTGGAGTGGTTGGTGCACTTGTTCAATATATGTATACATGAAAGTGGGAAGGTACCTAGGGATTGGTAAGAGAGCATGTGTAGTTCCCTTTTATAAGGGAAAAAAGGGATTAAGGATAGTATAAGAATTATAGGGGAATAAACATGTTGAGTATACCAGGTAAGGTATATGGTACAGTTACTATTGAAAGAATTAAAAGTAAGACAGAGAGCAGGGTCACAGATGAACAAGGTTCTTGGAAGGGCAGGGGATGTGTGGACCAAGTGTTTAAGTGTTTACATGAAGCATGTAAGTGAACAATACTTCGATAAAGGTAAGGAACTTTTTGTTGCATTTATGGATTTAGAAAAGGCATATGGTAGGTTAGATAGTAGAGCAGTGTGGCAAATGTTGTAAGTGTATGGAACAGATAGTAAGTTACTTAAAGCAGTAAGAAGTTTTTATGTGCATAGCAAATCTCAGGTTGGGGTATATAGGAAAGAGGAAGATTATATTCCAGTGAAAGTAGGCCTGAGATAGGGATGTGTGATGTTGTCATGATTGGAGTTGTAAAAGAAACAAATGGTAGGGTGTAAGGAAGAGGAGTGGGATAAAGAGATGAAGAATCAAATGCAGAGTGGGAGATGTCACAGTTGATTTTTGCTGATAACATGGTGCTTTTAGAAGACTCTGAAGAAAAGTTGCAAAGGTTGGTGGATAAATTTGGAAATTTGGGAGGATATGGAAATGAAGGAAATTAAAAGTGAACATTGGAAAGTGCAAGATTATAAGAGTATCATATAACTATAGACAATGAGAGGTTGGATATCTGATTGGAGAGAGGGAACATGGGGGAAGTAAATGTGTTCATATACGTAGAAATAGACTTGTTGGCAGAGGTATGAGAGTGGTGATGAGGGAAAGGTGGGTGGTGATCTGAGGCATCAGTAAAGACAATGAACCTTATCCATGGAGACAAAAAAGGGAATTTACCAGAGTATAGTGGTACCAACACTCTTATATGGGTGTGAAGCACGAGTATTAAATATTGCAACAAAGAGGAGGCTAGAGACAGTGGAGATATTATGTGTAAGGGCAGTGTGTGGTGTGAATATCATGCAGAAAATCCAGAGTGTGGAGATTAAAATGAGGCGTGGAGTTACCGAGGAGAGGTTATTGAGGTGGTTTGGATATTTAGAGAAGATGGAGCAAAAATTACTAGGAAGGTGTATAAATCTAGTGGAGGGAAAGAGGGGTAGGGGTTGTCATAGGAAAGGTTAAAGGTTGGGATAGAGGAGATTTTGATTTCTAAGGGCTTGGACATCCAACATGCTTTTATGAGTATATTAGATAAGAGCAGAACCAAGTGGTATTTATGACTTGATGTTCTGTTGGAGTGTGAGCAAGGTAACATTTATGAAGGGATTCATGAACTTGGCTAGCCAGACTTAAGTCCTGGAGGTGAGAAGTTCAAACCCTACACTCTGAAGGCCCCTCAAGGGAGGTTCCTTGACGTTGGTGGGGGCTCTTGATCTAGGGAATTGGATCTGTGCTCCGGTTCCCTGAATTGAACCTGAATACCTTCCATCCCCCACATGCGCTGTATAATCCTATGGGTTTAGCGCTCCCCATGATTATAATTATAATAATAATTACACTCTGAAGGAGGAGTGAGAATATTGCAGCTTGGAGGGACATCTGAACTGTGAAGTCAGAATGCTTCTGACAGGACAGTGATTGAACACATGAGTTTTTTTTTTTGGGGGGGAGGGGTACCCTACCTCAGTGGAAGATGGCCAGTGTGTTAAAAAAAAAAAAGTGTTCACTGGTAATCACTGAACCTGGCAAACAGTTGTCTTACCTGATAAACACTTGTCATTCCTGGTAAACCTTTATTATACCTGGTAAACAGTAGTGACACTATACAACAATGTTTTACTTGTATTCAGGGATGTGTGTGGAAGAAGAAATGGTTGCCAACCACTGGAGAAGATGCAAGAAGTGTTGTTGAAGACTGTTGCTGAAGCTAAGGCAATTGTATCTAAAGTAAGTAAAATATTGACAGCTTTTATTGTGAAGTGGATGACTGGCTGGGTGTAGTTGTATTGTTCAGTAGTAGCTGGCTGTGTGCGTGGGGGGGAGTAGGTGTACACTCTCACTTATACATACATATATACATACATACATATCCACTGGGAAGCTGTTATGACTATTGATGATCTAAATTAGTTTTCTCAGGAGGCTAACCTCTCTGGTGTTGGAAGTACATGTATGTAGTAGGCACATGTCTCAGTGGCACAGGAGAAGATGCAAATTTGATAAAGAGAGGTGCTTCTTCTACCAAAGAAGACAACAGACATCAGAACTTCTCAAAAGCAGCAGACTCTCTGATCCACAAAAGGAAATTCTGGCTAAAGAAATGGAGAACATTGAGCACAAACCTGTTACATCATATACAGTCCAAAAGAGACAGAGGGAGCAAAAAGCCAGAAATGAAATTAAAAAAATTCCCCAAAACTTTTTTCCCTTATGTAAAATCCAGGGCAAAACTACATCCAGTATATGGGCCCCTAACCTTTTCAGGGGGCGGGAGGCCCTCTCCTAAACTTGTTCTCAGGGTAAAATTTTTGAAAAAAAAAAAAAAAA